GCTGTTTTTAATATTAACCGAATCAAATTTAATATTTTCCCCCTTTTCCTCTTCATAGTTTTTAATTTATACCTCAGTTATTTATCACTTTAACCAAGAGTAGAATTCGTCAGAACTCTATCGCTTCTAAAGCATTTCAATGGCCTGCATCTGTGGTATTATCTCCCTAATTGTACAGTTTGCTGTACTTGGCCTTGTTTTGGCTGGTATCCTCCTTGATGAGTTTCGTCCGAGAAATGCCGATCAATACCCCGACAAAGGTAAGTTCTATATTACATTATGGGGTGTCAAAGATAACCTTTACAAGCATAATTATAAATATAAGCCATCCGATCTATGGTCCGAATGTTCTAGCCGCGTAAATCATTTTAAAATAGCTGCATGCATGGCTATCATAGCTGTTATTATTGCAGTAGTCAGAACCTTGTTGGGAATCTTACACACCTGCTGCTGTTGTATCTGTGTTTGTATAATTTTACCTATTGTGAGCAGTGTCGGAACTGTGGCAGGCGCAATTTCTATAGGTTACATGTTGTTTGACTATAAAAATTTCATTACGATTTCTGATGTACCTCTTGTCAAAAATTATATTAACAACCCCCTCAATCAATGCGTGAAACTTGAGATTTATACTGGTCCATTAGGACTATACAAAGATGGCATGGAAATAGGGTTGGGGTTAAAATTGTTTATTGCAGGTTGTGCGTTAAACACATTGAATATTTCGATTGCTTCTATTCCACTATAAAGGATGTATTCTTAAGGATAAACTAGTTAAATCTTTTTACCTTGTTACCTTTTAAACCACTCTAATGCTAATGTTTATATCTCTGAGACGCTAAGCGACTGTAACTTTGGAACAGTAGGTGTATATGATCAGTTGACTGGATGTTCCTTTATATTTTTGCTTTCACGTTCTCTCACTCGATTTTGTCATTTTAGTGTTAACCCATATCCGTGCACCTGTCACGTTCATTGCTTCCAGTATTCGTAATGTTTATTGTTTTCCTTTCCACTAGTAATTATACTTTTACAAGGCCGAAATATCATTTAGAGATTACTTGTAACCCTAGATGGCCTCTTTTTATTTTCAACTAAATTTTGCATAATGCTATTCTTCTCTTTTGCCTTTTATATCTTCACAAACTTCCTGTATGTGAGTTTTAGTAAAAAGTTGATAAAATACCGGAGGAATCACCGAAACATTATATTTTAGTATTCAAATTTATTGTTTAACTTGTGAAATGGAGTTTTGCGTGCAAAATCCTAAAGTTATATAAGTCGATGATATGCCTTTTGAAACCAAAGAAATGGATGATTAGATATGTATTATTTTTTTTCTTTTCAGGAAATGTGATTTGACAATACCGAAAAACGAAAATATTTTTGATATTTTACATTCTCTAAATGAGTGATAACTAATATAGTGAAGTTCTACAACTGTGAGTTTTCACCAAGTTGAATTACAACTTAGTAGATAAAAACCCATAGTCATATAGATGCTCATATCTAGGTTTTAATTAACTTTGAAAATACATATATAATATACATTTAAATATTTAGGAATGGAAACTTTATCTTTTTCACCATAAAATGGCAAAAATGATTAGCAGATGGATATAATATATACTGTTTAAGTGCTCTATCCTTTTCTGTTTTAGCATTGATAGATCTTCCTTTTAGTGCATTCAGGGACTCATAACTAGCACATTTGTTTTATTTTATAATGCATTCGTAGGAGCAACCACAACCATAGAATGTTTTTGAGTGCATTTACACCAGTACTTTATAAACAGAGAGTGATAGAATATGGATTTCACTAATCCTCGAGATCACCAATAGTTTTTTATTGCGATTGAACTACAGGGCACGGCCATTTATACCCGATAAACTACTTCACTGGGAATAAGTCATGTGATCAGGGTTGTGCCATATATTAAAGAGTGTTTTGTTACTTTGTGTGCGAGCAATACAAATGCATTCTACTTTCACTGTTGATCAATATTGGTATCAAAGAGTTTATGCGCAAAAATGATAAATAATAGTATGTGAGTTCT